TGGGCGACCAACCAAGAGGAATAACCTACAGTATGGATGACCAACAAATTGGACAAACAACATTATGAACGACTAGCAATCCGGACGACCCATAATTTGGATGGTCAACAGTTTGAATTACCAATAGTTTGGGCGACCCGCAATTTGAATGACCCACAGTCTGGATGACATGCAGTCTCGAAAAACCGCAATCTAGACGACCGACTGTATGGATGACCAGCCGTATGAACGACCCGCAACAATAAAAATGCGCTTTCATTCCAACTTATGTATTTCATTCATTAAAATGATAAATAATTTTTTTCTAATTATGCGCATAATAACACTCGGGGAACTTGATAAATACTGTGTAATAGATGGTCAATATCTGATCAACACTTGGGGAACTTGAGTAACTGAGCGGTGAAAGTTCCGTTCAAGCAATAAAACCAACAACAACGAGCAACGATCAGTCTTTAATACTTTTAAAAGTTTGACAACAATGAAATATAGTTTGCTCGATAATATTCTCTTTAAAATCGTCTAAGTATGACCGACAACGACGATTAATGTCCGATTGTCAAACTGCGCAAGAACCGACCAAACAACGCCCAAGAATGAATAGCCTATATCTCCTAACTCAGTACAAGTCAAGCTCTTGAGATGAGTCTCTACTCATTAGCGACAAGATCTGTATTGAGTGGCGTGCAAATCATCTTAGTGGTAAGTCTAGACGATTACCCCCACAAATATAGCGACATGATAAGCTAAATTTGCCTGACAAAAGGTATGGCCCGTCAGAGGCGACGACCCGACCGAACAAACAATAAATACGAGGTGTAAGACTTGAGTCGGGCAGTAACTTGAGAAAAATCATCTGAAAGAATCCTTAGGAAAGTCGACCTATCAATCATCATAAGCCAAGCGATTGTCACAAGGAAAATAAAACATTTGGTAAGAGGTAAAACACAAAAATAAAGGTGAAAACTGATTGAGAACTTCACTTTAGTTTACCCTAAAAAAATTTCCATAGAACTTCTTATATATTTACTTGCCAATGTTAAAAAAGAAAAGAAAATTTCTCTAAGTTAAAGATACGGCTGGCAGCCAAGCCAGATCGACCGACTAAAAAACACTGATTGAGCCAAAAGCCAGTAAAGTCTAGCCAATTAAATTGGTCCTACCGACTCAAAGTCCTTAAGAGAGCACTTTCAAGCCAGATCGACCGACTGAAAAACACCGATTGAGCCAAAGGCCAGTAAAGTCTAGCCAATTAAGTTGGTCCTACCGACTCGAAGTCCTTAAGAGAGCACTTCGAGAGCACTTTAGAGCAATTAAAAATGAAGTTCAATTATTCAATTATCGATTAAGAGTAGATGCAATAACATTTTTTGCATTAAAATTCTCTTATGCCTTCCAAAGTTGCATTTCAAAGAGAAGAGAATCCAAAAACTAAATACGTACATAACAAATATGTCAGACTGAATCCCATAGTTTGGAATATCAGCAACCTAGACGACTAGCAGTCTGGATGAACATGTACATTGACGACCTGCAGTCTAGACGACCAACAGTCTGATGATCAGTAGCCTAGAAGGCTCGCAGTCTGAACGACCCATAGTTTGGACGACTAGAGGTCTGAGCGACCAGCGATGATGTGCGGTCTAAACGACCCGCAGCCTGAATGCCAACAACCTGGACGACCCGCTGTCCGGACAACCTATAACTTGGACGACCCAGTACAACCGAGAGCTACGAGACCACATAAATATCATATCATCATGTTGTACTTCATCCCCTATAAATGGAGGTCACTTTATGTTAGGGGGACATTTGACCCTCTATTTCTTCTCATGTATTCATAAAGATTTGATTATATAGAGAGAGTCAAAAGAGCCCGAAATATCCCCCTTCTCTCTCTCCTGTCTTACGCTTTGTTAGGTGTGATTCACAGATAATTTCAGATTTAACGTGTTATTAATAGAATTGGGTGTTTCAAAAAAAGAAAAAAAACCGTTTTATACTCTTTTCATTAGGTCTGATTCACGGACAATTTAAGCCTCAATATATTACTAATAGACTTTGGTATCGAGAAAAAAAAGACAATTTATTAGAATGTTCTTTTAAAGGCATGCACTTTATCGAAATGTATAACAAAAACTTCCATGAAATTTAGATTGTATTTCAATTTGGGGAAATATATTTACAATTGTGGGGGTATGATCAGAAGTCAGAATATTAACATTAATGTGTCTACTGAAAAACAAACCTGCATCTGTGGTCATCCGCTAAACCCCAGCAGGACAGATACACCTATCGGAGATCTTCGCGATTGCAAGGCACCGGCCGCCGGCCGACGCAGCGGGCAGCGCGATTGTAAGCCGCCCTCGTCCTCAAGTAGAGCAGGATAGCAAAGGCTAGGCCGAAAGTCGAAATGGCGCCCCAGGCAAGAAAGGTCTTGGAGTAGCAGCGTCGGCCCATACAAACTAACATCGCCGCCACGGCCTGTGTCATGTGCCAGCTGCCCACTACTCTTCCGTTAGCGTCGTAGACGAGGGCGGCGAGCAGGCCATAGAGCTGCGAACCCAGCGGAATGTTGGTGATGACGATGTTGTGGTTCACGCCGAAGCTCTCCGGCCCGAACAACTCCGAAGTCGCTGACACCGCACCCGCAAAAATGAACCCCGAGCTCAGCCCCACCAGAGCCGTTCCCACAAGCAGAGCGTGCCCGTCGCCCGGCTCCGCATATGCCGCCAGCAGGAAGAAAGCCAGCGGCATCGGCACCAGCGCTGCAGCGAGCCAACCAGTTCTCGCAAAATTGAACCGCCTGCCGTCAAGTTGTTTGCGTTAATACATATATATTTCCCTGTGAAATGTTTGATCAAAATCAATCTAGTTGGCAATTAGCATGATAATAAATATGATGCTAACCGGCCCAGGAAGTCCGGGGCGGCGGAGAGGAGGCGGCCGAAGAAGGAGCAGGAGGAGTAGAGGTTGACGAGCATGGAGGTCCGTCCCAGTGACTGCGCAATTTGTCCGAGGTTGTTGCTGTAGACGAGACCGAGGGTGCCACCGCAGAAGTAGGACATGTAATAGATCCAGAAATCGAGGCGGTGGATGAGACTCTTGGCACCATGCTCTTCCCCGAGCAAAACAAGCCGGTCCTTCGCCATCAACTCATTGTACCAACTACTGCAGCAGCAGAGAGATCCATAGTCGTTGTCGTCCGGGATGATCTCCAAGACTCGGTTTTCCAGCCCCCCATCTCCGGGAATGATCAGTTCCTTTTGTATGTCGTATTGGTCTTCAGCGTCCTCCAGCTGGCTGGAGTAGATGTTGTGGAGAGCCCAGTCTCGGGCTACGACGATGCCTGGAATGGCCAGGGGGAGGGCGAGGAGGATGAGAGCGCCGGCCAGGAGGAGCCGTGAGGTGGCAGCGTTGGGGGCGGCCGGATTGAGGAAGAGGAGATAGACGCCGGTGAGGAAGGCGATGACATTGAGGAGGAAAAAGATGTGGACGTCACGACGGCTGGAGGAGGGGGAGGGAAGGGGGGGCTGGCGGAGGAT